GTCAGTCAATCTACCAGTCAGTCTGCCTTACCATCTTCATCAGCGCTCTGCTCCGCAGACTACAGCGAGGTGGCACAACCGCTTCAGTTCCTACTCAGTTAGCTGATTAAGTGTGGTCACAGAACGTCACTGACTGTGTTACGTGAGATACATGAGTCAGGCGAACGGCAGCCTCCTCTGCTCCACTGACTGAACGACATGCGGAGGAGAGCGGGAGTTGAAGGAGGGTGAGCCCAGTGCTTCCCAGCGCTGGGTAATGATGTGCTCCATTCTGCCTTCCCTCTGAGAGCCTCTTGGCTGAGTGAGCACATCCCAACAGAGCCGTCCATCAAACTCAGCATGCAGTGGCCCACAACCCCCCTCCTCACAGCGCACACACGTACAACACGCACACTCGCTCTCTTGCTTTCATTCACTCTCTCTCCATTCTTTCTTTTGGGGCCTTTTTTATCTCCTCCCTAGTGCCTTGTCATCTGTCTCCCTTCAGAATCACATGGCCAGCAATTTCTCTGTTGCTAAATCACTTTCAAGCCTATTTGAGCCCACACACACACACACACACACTTGGTTCAAACTCAATAATAAGCATCAATCGGTACCCACCAGGGTAGAGAGGTCCAAAAGTCTATAATCTGAAAATATGGGATTCAACATCCTATTTTAACAAATAATACGAAAGGTATAGGAGTTTGAAAAGTATAAAACATATTAGTTATAATATGTAAAACAAAAAGGAAAATTGATCATCAGGTTCTATGCCAACTTGTTAAATGCAAGTAAAAGCAAATTCATAAACATGCATTTTTTCACTTAGACTATTATGCTGATGATATATAAATACATTGTTAAAATATATTAGAAACAAAACATTTTCACTAGTGGTCTCAGACTTTTGTATATAGGCTAATACAATTTAAAGACAGCAAATGAGATGTATGTAAAATGTACTTAACAATATTGTCGTTGGATTTACACAAGCAGAATATTATGCTGATAATATTAATAAAAACTTAAATGAAGAAAATTTAAATGAAAAATAATGAATTTAAAAAAATCATGCATTTACAATAGAACCATTTTCTCTGTTTGTCTCAGACTTTTGGACCCCACTATATATATATATATATATATATATATGGATAGCAAATAAGATGCAGTCTTCATAAAAGTGAAAAAAAAAGTATTGAACACTAAACTACTTTACAATAACATGTTTATTACATGTGCCAATCCCAATGGCCATGTTTGATGAATCAATCCGGCTGATATATTGGTCCATCACTACTCAACACATCTATTTGACCTCTACAAGACAAAATCTTACGCATTTCGGTCACTCATTTTTGCTCTAATGAAAAACAACTAGTGTGCTCATTCTCCTTAATGTCTGCAATCTTAGAAGTTTTAAACCCTCAATTAACACACTGGTATAGATTAAAAGCTTATGCCTGTGGTTTAGAGCAGGTCTAAATGCTGATAACTGTGGATAAGCAAGTGTGCGTCTAAGTGTGTTTGTAGAGGCATGGGGGAATTGACAGTGTTAGCAGTCTGATTATGTAATTTCATTATCCTCAACAATCTGCACTCAAGCAATGGCGAAGAAAATTACTGGATTGTAAATCTCTGCTCCATCAATTACACACACAGAATCTCTGCAATCCTTGTTGATTTCACGAATCAATAGTGTCAAGACAATATTGTGTTATTCCAAGCGGAACAAGACACTTAAAGCCTCAATTTCCCATGGAATCACAAAGATTGTATGAAATTCTTGCACCGTGACATACTTAATATTCCATCGGCTTGCTCTGTGTGTCTACCTGTGCATGACACACGAGAGAGAGACACTAAAACAGGCTGTTGAGAATGAGTGGGAATGCTGAAGACACCTCATCATTTCACTGAAATTTGATTCAACGACTCTCAAATCTTTTAAAGAGTTAGAGAACAGTTGGCAAATTCTATGGAAAAAATTTCAGCCTTTATCGATAAACATAATTTTGAATCAGTTGCTTTCATCAATTCTGACAGAGGAAGAAACAAAACTACTTGGACACTTGTTTAAAGGATGAAAAACTTTGTCGGGGACCTGGCAGGGAGCTTCAGGGGAAGTAAAAGTACACCCGACATTGAAGATCAAGGTAACAAAGGCCAAATGGCACTTCCCCCTGATCCGGCACATCAATCAACTTAAGAAAACCCTAATGGATTCTTCCCTCTAACCTGTGGGTGAGTGATATGCATCTTGGAACATAGAAACCAGGGAATCTGATACTGAAACAAGGTGTCACATTCTTCACTCCTGTTCTCAGGAATCCAATCAAATATTAAAACATGATGCTTTAAGGTCTGCAAGGAATGCGGTGTGAGGAAATTTGATTTCGATGGGCTCAGAGGAAAGAAGATCGTTCTGAATTTTTTGTTCAGATTAGTAAGAATGGAAGATTAAGGCAACTTGAATCCAAAAGTGCTACATCACAAATAATATAGACCACACGTCCAATATATCACGCGACAAGCCCACAGTGATTCAGGATAAATTTCTGCTGGGTTGACAGTAGCGTAACCCTAGATAACCTCTACTGCCATGGCAACACAAAGCGAACGAGTTTATGAAGTGTGCAGCTGCTGTGTGTGAAAAACACAACAAGAGACATGCCCTCCAGCAAAGATGTCATCAAATCATACAATCCTGCAAGTTGTGGATACATGAGCATGAAACCCATACATATAATTCATTCAACACTTCATTAGCACACTGTCGAGCGTCAAATTGCCCAGTCTATAAGTGAACATCCAAACCTTTATGAGGTCTGTTAGTGATTCAATTGAGCAAAATAGAATCAGTTATGCTCAATTAACATTTATCCCAAAAAATTACCTTTAATTATCATCCTAGAAGTCTACCGACACCATGCACACACTCCTGCAGCCAAGTTCGCGGCATGCTGTGTGCAAGTAATCAATCTGCCTTGTGCTCAGGAATCAGATAGACTTCGAAGCAACCATCCCGACACTAAATGGATATCTTTACATGACGAAAAACAAGCAAACACGCATTGCTAATCTACATCTTTGCGCAGGGGGCTGCTGCATTCTTTGAACTCCAAAGACCAACAAAGATAAAATAATTGGTGAGTGGAATGTGTTATCACACCACAAAGACCCATTCACTGAGGGAAACAGAGATAAAAGGTGCTGAGATGGGAGCCTAAACTGCTGCACCCTTGTAAGAGAGCGCATCATTTCTCTGCGAGCACTCCGCGCTCCCCCCGCGCACCACTGGAATACATCAAACGTGGACAAGATGGCTAATTAGTCCTCATTACAAAGGGAGCCAGGCTTCTTACATCAGCAAACAATCGCATCCATCAAAGCTTGACAGCGCAGATCAAACAGAGACAGAGCGGCTCTCATCAGCAATATCGTGCGATTTCTATTTAGCAGACTGATAGGAGCTGGGCTGCCGCCAGAGAGAGTGAGACGAGGGCTTTCCGAAGCACATGGCACCATTTCCTGTCTTTACTATGAACGTAATGCGAACAGATCCATGAGCTAAGCTGGGTTTTCGAAGGGAATATTATAAATTGACTAATCGTTATTGACAAATACGCCGCTTTGGAGTGTCTGACTTCTCCTGACACCTCTTCTTTCCCCCAAATGTCAGAAAAGCACTGGGTGTAAAAGAGCAAATGAAAAGGTTAGAGCTCGGGGATTACTGCGTGCAGCCGCATATTACTCATAGCTGTAGACACCACATCAGTCAGCTGATGAGAAGTGTTGGCGGGTTCACACATCATAACAAACACAGCGCAGGCCAGACAGACGTAGAACATACGTAACTGAGGATACACAGCAACATACGCTTACAGGAATACAACCACGATGGCATTTCAGGCAAACCGAACACATTCATTTGTCGATTTAATCAGTGATTCTCAATCCGGGTTCTGAAGTATCCCTTATTTAACACCTAAATTATGATCAGCGTACTAGCCTGAAATATAGCATGCAAAAAGCAGTACATCAAATATATTGCATAGTCAAATAAGGCAGGCGAATAATAGAGGGCCGTGCAGCATGTAGTCACTTTGACATCCCGAGGAGCTAAGAAGCCTCATGGTTAATTTTAAAACCACAGATAATTAGCAAATGTCACATCCAGACATCCTAAACTAAAGATAACACATAAGAGTGATCTCCAGGATAGCGAATGAGAACCACTGGAATAAATGACCTGTATGAATGGACAAGCACACCCAGACCTGTTAGTGACTGCTTCCAAATGAGCAGCATAGAAATTAAGTATTGAAATCATTCAATTAGTCAAATCAAAAAAACAACATTAACGTCTGCTTCTTCGCCTTAAGCTTTATTTCAAGTGTGCACCATGTTAGTCTAATTCTTAAATCAAGCAGACATTGTTACACTTGCATTCTCCTGAAGAATTTCTGACACCTGACTGACCTTTAAACTGTTGCAACCACTTTAATAAGATAGGAAAACCAGGATAATTTGTTTCCCGTTCTGGATCTGAACAGTAAATGCCTCTAAAACAGTTTCCCAGACATTAAATGCCTTAGATCAAACCCAACAAACGCCAGCCATGGATTTAAATTGGAAATCTGACTCGAGCCACACATCCAAACACTGCAGCACTGCAATAGCAGGTATGCCTCTGCAAGCAAGCATGCATGACCATGGAGCTGCAGTGAAAGCATCTGCACGGAAATCCAATGCAATAAATTGTGTTCAAGCTAATGCAGGACAAAGAAAGTTTGCCTATCACTGCAGCGACTGCACGGGCTGGCTGCCACATTCCATTCTAGTGCCAGTCATCAGACTGAAGAAATTACATTTAACTTGCATGAGAGGACTGGTGTTTCAATGAATCTTAAAGAGCAAATCAACAAGTAAAGCATTACAATCAGCTGCATTAGTGAGGATGAGATGAGAATTGCAATGCTGCAAAAGTCCAGTGTAACGTTAAATGCCCATACCTGGTAGACGTGCCCTTCCGTACATCACAGATGCTGCATTTGAAGGCTTCGGCACTGTTTCTGAAAGTGCACACGCTACAGTCCCAAAATCCGTCGTCCGCTGTCGGTTTGGCTTGTCTTTTTGGCCTTAAATAACAAAAAGAAGACCAAATTAGAAAGGTCAACCTCCATGTTTGCCCCCTAACATCCTACACCCCTACTTTTACTGTCTCGAATTCGTTTAATGTAACCGAAGTGGCACAGAAAGTGACAGAAAATCCGACCCGTGACGCGCGAGGGCGGTTTATTAGAACCGGAAAATACTGGAAATACACGCTAACCAGCTAACTAGCCACGGTTATTCTCCACAGCTCCTAGTAACCGGGCTTAACACGTATATAATACACTCTCTAGGTTGGTGTCCGCTGGCACGAACGCTAACATTAGCCAGCGAGCTAAAGATATCGCGTCGGTGAACGGCGTGAAATTGAATGTCAAAAACGGTCCATTTAACGTTGAACTTCGACCAAAAAACCCGTCCGAAGAGGCCAGGCGTATCCCGTAGGAAGAACAATCTCTTTGTCTGAGAGGCACTGAGAAGTGTTTAGAGTCCTATGAGAAGAAGAGAAAGCCGCCATAGCTGCGCTTGTTTCTGAGAGAAAGGAGAAACACTCCTCGAGAAAAGCATCCGAATGTCCACCGAGCGAAAAACAGCCCGCGGTCACCATAATCGCCTCGGAAACTACCGACTGTTGACGCTTTCTTACCTGGTCGGGCTCTTTTTGTCGCCCATGGTGGAAAAACCGACTCTCAAAAGACCGAAAAGGGTTCCGTAATTAACAATAATTGTGCGTGAAGGTCCGTGTGAGCGCGTATGTGTGTGTATGGTGGATCCACACAGAGAGAAGCGCTTGCAGGCAGTCTTGCCTTCCCCCGACTGACTGACTGACTCTAGGCAGGGCGAAGAGACTGCGGACCCCGTGACTGCGCCGCCCAATCACCGCTGTCGTCGGTTTAAAACTCTTGCCAGAAATAATCGGCACGGATAGAATAATACTACTACACTCTCCGATTGCCAAACGTAATTAGACTGTGAGCCTGTCGATGTGAGAGAAAGCAGCAGTAAGACACCTACTCGATGACTTAATGACTCTGCTATACATCAACAGCAGCACTTGGGAGTGTGCGTTGAGTTGGGATATATGGGGAGAAAAGTCAAGTTCAACTCGGGACACCAATACAAGAGTTTACTTTGTGTTGTGGTTTAGCATCTCAAATCATATATAAAAGTAGGCTAATCCATGGAAATGCACGACTAAATGGCCACATAGTTTTAAGTCTTCAGTGTGCAACAAGTTTACCACTATAGAAGCTGACATTTTTAAGTGTCTGAAAGCCTAACTGAAGAACCTGTTGTTAATGATTTTCTGCTTTTTGATAAAATAACTAGGGCTAGTCATAAAAAGAATATGTCATGTATAATTATTGCTTTAAGTTGTTTTTGATGTCACAAATAGCCTATATATTTAAAAAAAAAAAAAATATTTAGCCTGTCCAGGCTACTTGTTAAAGTAGTGACATAGCCTATCAACATGAGGTAACAACATGTTCTTCTGTAATTGTGCGAAAGTGAAACAAATTAACGAAAACAAGTTGGACATTGCAATTGTTGGCATATGTCGATGTGCGTTCACGCCATGTTGTAATTCCGAGAGTCCAATTTGCAAGAAGCATTCACATCCTCGTAGAACTTGTAATTACAACTTACTTGTACCACCAGACCACATCAGATTAATGATGTTGCCATAGAAAAGCTTAATACCAGAACAGTCTTCAGAAAAGTTTCACCAGAAGATCGAGTTATATTTTGATTAAAAATTAGAAGTTCAAAAAAGCTCAATCAATTGATTTGAATTGGTTTACCAAATAGAGGATGAATTTTTATTTCATGCCGAAGTTAAAATGCTGAACGCATAAACGAATGAACACATGAGATCAATGCCAAAATCAATCCCATTTAGTTGTCACTGACATCAGCGTATTGATATTTTGTATGTCATGACTATTTGTCTGCTTTGAAAAGCATGATTAGAATCTAACTGTGCCAAAATACATGCAAGGCAGCCTTATGGAGGATACAAGAAGTTCTAAAACACAATTGACACCAGTTTCTCTTGTTGCGAAACACATACTACCATCTGATCATGAAGGGAACACACACATAATAAGCAAAAGACGATGATATGAGGGTTTTTAGCGTTTTTATTACGGACTTCACTTGAATTTCTCAAGTGTCCAGTCCTCATCTGCGCTCCGGCTCCCATTTATTTTGGATTTCACAGTGAAAACAAACGCTCGAAGAGGCCCCTCATGGTAGACACAAGGGCCCCTGTGTGGGGGATATGAAATGTGAATCATTAGCTGCTCTCTGGGGTTCCAGCCCCTTTGTGCCCTCTTTTCTCTCCATGTGCTGCTGGATTCTCTGTTGCAACTTCATGACAGACTCTTGCAAGTTTACTACTGGCTGATGTTGATTGGAGGTTTGATCTGGAATTCTTTGCAGATGGTTCCTTACAAAATCCAGGACAGCTGAGAATACAAACGTCCAAGGTTTGAAAAAGCTTCAAAAGACCAGAAAATGTTACTAGAATCACACAATTGTAAATATACTAAATACAACACAGATGCTGTCAAAGTGTTATTAAGTCACATCAGACGAAACATGAAATATTACACAGTTCTAATTACCTGAGCGTTCACTCTATGCTTCAAACATGATTCATAACTGAATGTAGAGAACTTGTAGAAAAGTTGTAAGAACCTGTCAGATCCTTAATTTAGCGCTTGCCTGTGATGTCTTAAAATTAGAACAATTTGGCTGTCACCTCTGTGGTACCAGATTGGTGTCACAGATTTGTAGCTCACGAATGATGAGATGTGATGTGGGAGTGGGTGAATTAGAAAGATGACTCAGATGAATGCTGTGATCAGAACTGAGACTCTAGAGAACAGATGAAATAGACAGAAACTGAGAACATGGTTTCTTTCTGTTCTCAATGTGGTGGGTCAACCTTTATTTGATGATACATTTGAACAGCCCACAAAGTTTTTAAAAAGAAATATAAGTTGTTAAACTTTCTTTTTGGTTCACACAAATGGCTCAGGATGTTCATATTTTAGATAAGTATTTTAAAACGTATTTATTTCTCATTTATATTGTATATTTTTTTAATTGTTAATACTATTAATGATTATATTCAACTAAATAAAGCTCTTTCTGAATGTTTCTGAATTATCCTGAATGTTGTATAAACATTTCATGTGTCACAGAACGGAAGAGAGGTTCGTGCATGCATGAGTAAGCATTACATTCTTTTGATTTTCCAGACAAAAAGCGTTCCGATTCCTTCAAATAAGAAATGAGTCTAGGCTTTCGTTGACAATCTAGGATGTCAGAGAAGTTTCATTACAAGCCGTTCACATATTGGCGATAAACGTGATTAATAGAACATGAATTTTCGAGCCCCTTTAACAATAGGAAAGTGCCCCGTTCTCAAAAACTGTGCCATATGTGCCTGGAAATTTCAGGATTTGTAATAATTTAATTCAGTGTAGAATTTTTAAGAAACAAATTGTGGATTTTCTCAGAAAATGCAAAAAGCATAAGTAAAAAAATACAGTTAGCATGATCACAAAACACAAAGTGTATGAAAACAGGACTGAATCTATATTAATTAGAATACTTGAAGCACCACTTTTATTTGACCTGCTTGCTTTTAGGATGTTTCAAATCATTTAAAATGTTTGTTTTCAGGATAAATAAAACATGAATCAGTTTAAATCAGAGAGGATTATATGCCTGGCTCAAGGACAAAATCAGTGACCTCTAGATTTCTATCAGTTTGTTTGTGTTTGGTTCATGTTCCCTGATTAGTTTCGAACCAGTCATTCGACAATTACCTCTGATCCACAACTCTGACCTTTGCTTCCGTTTTCGTACCTGTCGCACTTAACACTTGCAGCACATTTTCTTTCTATTGGTTAAGGAAGTAATGAAGAAGCAAAGTGGAGCCTGTTTATTTCGGATATTGTATTTGAAACCAGAAGAAAATCAGATGCGTATATGCAGCCTTGTGGATAGCGTTCTTGCTACTGGGAATGAGTTTATGCAATTTGTTCTACTTGACCTTTCACCTTACAGATAAAACACATCTGGCTGCCGCCCCTAAGGCTGCTTCTTGTTGGCTAAACTCATTGTGTGTTCATGTGCTTGTGTTGGACTTCAAAAAGGTTTTCACCGATAAATAAACACAGTGTTTAGTGACACATTTGAGCTACTTAAAACCGGCATTGTCTCTTGAGACAGATGTGATTGACTATTTATTCATATCTGCCACTGACCCTGGGAAATTTATGCACTTTTTTTTCCAGAGCTGATTCAAAACAATATTTGGCCTGAGCTTTTAGCTGGCATGCTACCAAATGAAGGGCTCCAATGACAGGCATACTTGAAATGCACATTCTTTCAGGATCCCACTCAGCCCGTTCTCATCCCAAGGCGTCATCTAACCGACACTTTTGACCATGCGTCATCTAACTAATGCTTTAGGCATCCTTTAACGTCAGTTAGATGACGCTTTCCTAGTGGTCTAACCCTACCCCAGACCTAAACCTACCCGCGTCATAACTGACGCTAAAGGTAAAGCATCAGGATAGCCTCATCTAACTGTCGCTAAAGGGTGCCTAAAGCGTCGGATATTGAAGCATGGTCAACATTGTCAGTTAGATGACGCCTTGGGATGAGAATGCGTTGTCCCACTCTATCACCATGATTTAGACCAGTAGCAAGAGACTATCGAAGCAAGAGATCGCAATCTATCTATCTGTAACATTTATGCACCTCTTGATGGAAATAACATTACAACAATTATTTGCATCAGGAGGCACATACATTTTTGGTCAAGATCTTGTATTGACAATGCAAGAGTCCAGCACTCTGCAAAGTCTCCTCCAGAACATCCCAAAGACTTGGACTCAGAGGTGCCAATTCATGTGTGAAAAGAATTCTCCATGCTCCTCCCAACCGTCCATTCACAATTTGAGTCTGATATGGCCATGATGTGAAATTCTACAAGCTACACACTCCATCAATTAGAGTTTGAAGAACTGTTGCCAAGCTTAAACATAATAATCACTGCAATAATGGTCCAATCATTGACTCTTAAAGGAGTAGTTCACTTTAAAAGAAAACTTTTGCTGATAATTTACTCACCCCCATGTCATCCAAGATGTCCATGTCTTTCTTTTTTTCTTCAGTCGAAAAGAAATTAAGGTTTTTGATGAAAACATTCCAGGATTTTCTCCATATAATGAACTTCATTGGGAACCAAACGGTTCAAGGTCCAAAAGACACTTTCAGTACAAACAATTCAAAGGGCTTTAAATGATTCCAGACGATGAATGGGCTCTATGCACGGCGGTATTTCCGGTGAAGCATTAGGGATGCTCGATAACTTCCGCCGATCATAGAGTCCAATGCAATACCGAGAATTTATATTGAATTTTATACTCCATGGTTATACTAATGAAACGTTAGTCACAAAAACAGATAAAACAGACACCCCTCGTTGTGTTTATGCTTCTTTTTAAAATTATATTAAATAAACATAACTATATATAAAATTACATCTAAACGTATGTACGTTTCGTTTCAAAGACGGGAGGACAGTAAATATTGAAGACTCTGCCATAATCCCGTTTTCTCCGGTTTTCCTCCGCTTTAATCTACACAACCGGAAATGGACGAGCATCCTTACGTCAAATGCGGAACTTATGCGTGCATATAGCCCATAAGGGTCTTATCAAGCGAAACGATCACTCATTTAAAAAACAAAAACAAAAAAAGTTTAAGTTTTATAAGCTCAAATGCTCACCTTGCTCTGTACTGCGATGCACGTTCGTGACTCTCCTGTTCAAACTCGTTCATAAAAATGAACAAATCTTTTTCCGAGTCAATTCGTTCATTTCATTTGTTGAATGAACCAAATGACTCTTTCGTTCATTTTGATGAACGAGTTCGAA